TTTATTTACATTACCCTTAGGATTTTCTTCAGCACTGGACAGACCAGAACTCTGTGCACCATCTGATTCCTCTGCAGGTGTCCCAGTGCTTTTGGCAGCCAATGCTTTTAAGGCATCTAAGGAAAGGTCTAAGCGGTAACAGTTTTGCATCATGGACTCATAATCAGAACTGGTTTCAGACTCCCCTTGCTCAGACGCTGAGTAAGAGCTCTCACTATCACTTGTCTCTGCTGAACTCTGTGAGGCAGCAATTTTGGATTTTTTAGTTCTCCCCTTTCTTTCAATGTGTTTTTCTTTGACATGTCGAGTTTTCAGTGAGGAGTCATTTACCAAACCGCTTTTTTTTTTGGTTAATATTTCTTTATTTTTCACCTCCACCTGTTTAGAATCTTCTAAACTTGTAGTTTTGCTGCTGTTTGGATCTGGAGTTTTACTTTCAGCAATCATTTCATCCGTATCTGCTGAAGCAGAACCATTACCATGTTCCATGGTCTCTTTGTAACTTCCTTTGATAGCTTTCTTCATGGCATCTGGATTGCATAAGGACCAGTGACTATTGTATTTTAATCCAAAATCATCCCCAACAACTTCCAGGGGGTCACTTTCACTCTCAACATTCCTCGCTTGCTGTTTTTCTTTCTCTTTCTTCACCATTGCTCTGATCTCCTCTTCAGAATCAACCTCACTGTCAGAACCACTCTCAGCTGCCACTCCATTAACATTGCTTTGATGTGACAATAAACCTCTCCCTGGTGTTTCACCCTGGACACTCCTTGATGGAGCCAATTTCGACTTGTCACTGGCTCTGGGTTTTGCTCTTTGACCGAGCTGTGCTGAGCTGGGCTGGTTTGGATGGGCCTGGCCCCCAGAGGACAGAACTGCTGCTCCCTTCAGGGCCTCACTGCCCAGCTGCCTCAGTTTTTTCCGGGGTTTCTTCATCCCAGGGAACTCTGCTGGTCGCTTCCTGTTGGCACTGGCATCTCTCCCTTCCAAGTGCCAGGTGAGCTCGGACACAGGAGCTGCCTGTGCCAGCTCTGGCTCCAGCTTCCTCAGGTTATGGCAATACTTGGACGGGTCATAGTTCACAATGTTGGTCTGAGTTAAGGAAGTAAAACAACAGGATTCCTCCAGCAAGCAGAGTCAAGTCTTTATGGACAGGCTGAATTCGGCGGGAAAGGACAACAAGGAGTCTTTGTTATCTGATGCCTTTAAGCAACTGACTTGCAGTGAAAGAAACTCGGCCAAACCACACCAATTACGGCGAGATTTACTCGGGGGATTCAGTAAATGAAGTCTGACACAGCAGTCAAAATTAAGACTGTTCAGCAACTGTTTCTCCAGCTGACAAAATGAGGAAGGGAACTGTGCCTGTGCCCAAACAATAGGAAAAGGATATTTTATTTTTTTGCTGATTCCTCAGGTGCAGGACAGGCAAGACTCTGCCGAATTTACCAACAACCCACTTCTAAAAGAAAAGGAAAATAATCAGTGTTAAACAAAAAATGAGTGGAGGTAACCCTGTAATAGAATAAGATGTTCATTCTTGGGTAACAAAACCACTAATATAGAACCATCTGTGACCAATTCTCTTTTGTTCACTTTGTTAAGTGAGATATAATTGTACTGTGCACCTTAGCCAGCTTCCTTCTCAAAAAGAAAACAAACCAAAACCAACCAAAAAAACAAATTTCTACAACCTGCAAATAAAGAGGGATAATAAAGAAGTAACTTACCTTACTTTACAACTACTATTTCTAATATATGGCTTCTGGATTATGAATTAACAGGGAATGAATTATGAATTAACAGACACAATCACTATTATTTTGCTCTCTTCCCCTTTCCCACCAAAACCAAAAATCCCTCCAAAACCAACCTGTGCTTAGCAAATCATTTTGGAAACTTTGTAGTAAATATAATTCTTCTTGCCTTCATTTGCACGTTCAGTGATTTTATTCTTACTCTTGCAAGCTTGTGCAGACCCTGACCCTGAACGTGCTGAAGCACAGAGAGCAGTTCCTGACAGCCCAGCCATCAAAATAATTAAATGCTGCATAAAAATAAATCACATATTCTCTTTACAAGCTTTTAAGGGTGACATGAATGGATATTATACTATAGACTTATGTAAATTCCCAACATACATGAGGAACAAAGCACTTCTCAGTTTAAGGATGACAGAGGACAGTGGGATCAGAATTATTCCAAGTCATTACAAAGAAGGACAGGAGCCTTCTCCTTGTCTCCACATCAGGTCTTTCTTCAGCCTATTTTTCACAGCTTGCACTGTCACCCTTAATAATTAAGATTCTTCACACAAGGCATAGAGATTTGGCATAAATTTAGATGCACTCAGCTTGCTTTCTGCTGCTTTAACTCTCTCACCCATCTACCCCACCATACCTTGTGCTCTGGCACCTCTGTACCTGGTACTGCTTTCATGGGGAAGTCCACAACTCCAGTCTTTCTCAGTGATTCCAACAGACAGGTTGGGTTATTTCCCTGTGGCTTTTCTTTCTGCAGCTTTGCTTCCTCCCTCTCCAGGGCAAGCCTGCACCAAAAAGTACATCCTGCCTGAAAAGAAGTGCTGTGCCAAAGCCCAGGTGCTCAATTAGAGCTGGCAGGGACCCCCTCCCACAGAACAGCAACCACTCACTGCTCAAGGAGTTAACATCCTGACATTCCCTTGAAGGGAATAAGGATCTAAATCATGTTGCAGCATCAAATGTGCATCAACACTCCACCAGTGCCTATCAAAACTGAAAGGACAGGACTG